AAATGACAACTCACTCCAGTATTCTTGCTTGGAAAATCCCCTGGACAGAGAAGCCTGGTGGGCTACAGTCCGTGGCCAAAGCATTGACCAGGATTTAGCAATTAAGCCACCACCACCACTACCAATGACCATGGGCCAAAAAATTTTTGGTGCTGCACCCCTTTACTCTCTTAAACATTTCTGAGGACTCCAAAGAGCTTAAGTACTGAACTGTGGTTCAGAGGGTCCCTGATGGGCGTCTTTCAGAACTCTAAGTGAATAGGGTAGCTGTATTAGATTTTATATAAGGAACCAAAGGGATCATATAACAGTGTGCTTAGAGTAGTGCTCAGGCTGACCAGCCTACACTGTAATTACCAAATCCTCACATCCAGTCCTGACCATGGTGCCAAGGTTTATGTGGGAGATAGATATATATGCATACATATATATATATAAAATAATATTTAAAAGCAAAGCTAAAATGTTTGAATTTATTTATTTAAAATAATTCCATTGTATGTTAATATAAATAACTTTCTTGCTTCCCTGATGGCTCAGTGGTAAAGAATCCATCTGCCAATGCAGGAGATGTAGGTTCAGTCCCTGGGTTGGGAAGATCCCCTGGAGAAAGAAATGGCAACCTACTCCAGTATTTGTACCCGGGAAATTCCATGAACAGCAGAGCCTGGCGGGCTACAGTCCATGGGGTTGCAAAAGACTTGGACATGACTTAGTGATTAAATAACAACAACATTCTTATGAAAAGTAACTATATTTTTAGTGATAAAAATAGCATGTTTCATATTGTTGCAAATCTGGCTCAGTAGATGACAGCTAGCGTAGTACCTAGTGGAACCCATTGGAACATTTTCTTGTGGACTGGACTTCTATGGTATAACATTTTCTGCCTTACCTTGACACCAAATATGTCTGCTCCTTACCCCCCTGCCATAAATCCTCCAATTTCCAGGAAATGATGGGCAATGCCAAGGTCCATGGGCTCTCTATGAACTGGCTTTCCAGGCCTGGTGTTCAAATAGGCTAAAACTTGAATGGTCTTTATGGATCCCAGAGGGTCCCTGATGGGCGTCTTGCAGAACTCTAAGTGAATAGGGTAGCTGTATTAGATTTTATATAAGGAACCAAAGGGATCATATAACAGTGTGCTTAGAGTAGTGCTCAGGCTGACCAGCCTACACTGTAATTACCAAATCCTCACGTCCAGTCCTGACCATGGTGCCATACACCTACACTGGAGGCCAGCATGTTATCAAAGAGGTCTGGCTCTCTTCCCACTAAATTACCCTCAGTAGACTAATTATGCCTACTGGGTGAAAAGATAAGAGGCTAGAAGAGCTATGCTGTGTTTGACGAATACTACATGTGAAACACACAGAGAATCAGGCTCACCAACACCCTCCCCAGCCCCAGTCAAGGCCAAGTGCAATATTCACAGAGCTAAAGCCAGAACTGGAAAGGTGAAAACACCTATGGATAAGATTAAAAGGCTGGTGACCCTTGGCACCCCTTCCTGGGCATGTCACCCAGGAAATCGGAGCTCTCCAACAGTAGAATTCTGTGCCAGCAAGAGAGGGCCAAATAAGGTTTGTGATCAAGAAGACTGTTCATACCATTCCTGGTCAGGCTGCTCAGGGGGGAAGGACCTAGGGCTAGGCATCATTTTGAATAGGAAGTGAATACTCAACTCTGCTATAGTAACCACAGTTCAGTACTTAAGTGTTTTTATCCTCCTTTGTGGTCTACAAGTCTTCTATGACACTTATTTGTAACATCGGTTGGAGCAGGTAATATTTTTGTACTTAATAATTGAAGCAAATGAGGAAAACAGGCTCAAGGACACTAACTGGAAGGGCCTAGATGGAAAGGGATCACACCACCCCCAGATCTTCAGATGGCTAATCCAGTGCTTTATCCACTCTTCCAAGATGGACGAGTATGAGTGGGAGAAGCTGGAGACAGTGGAAGAAACAATGGCTCAGGTGAGCCATTGGACGCTAAAAGGCTTTAGAAGGCAAAGAAAGCACGCTAAACACAAAGGAAGGAATCTCTTGGCAAGTGTGGGAGTTGGTGGGGAGACTGACACGAGTATGGAATTTGTCTTGGGACGTGGGAAATCAAGCTGGAGAAGTAGGAATAGGATCAGATGAGTAATTTGAATGTGATGTGGTGTATAAGAAAGCATTGTTATGCCTTCATGCAAACTAGAGTAACAATGAAAGCAGGGCCTTAGGCAGATTAATCTGGCAGTAGAACAAGAATCTGAGTGGAACAAAGAGTCTAGAAGTCTTGGATCTAGAGATCCAAGATAACTGTTGTGGTAATTCAGGTGTGAGGGGATAAGTCTTGGACTAAGACAGCAGCAGTGCAAAGGATGAAGAATTCATGAGACAGTAAGAAGACAAGACCCTCTAAGACTTAGTAACAAACAGATTAGCTATTGGAACAAAAACTGCTTCAAGATCTGAGGAACTAGAACAATGAAGGCCTCACTGGAACATAAGACTATTTTTGAGACATTAGATTTGATGTAACAGTATCAGAGAGATAAACAGTTTGAAACTTAAGACTATATCACAACTGGCTAGAGGTCAGTCTCTTTAATAAATACATTTTGATGCACATGGATTAAAAAAAGAAACAAGTTATATTAACTAAGCATATGCTACAATCATTAAAACCAAAATATAGTTTTTCTTTCATATTAATTTTATTAGTAATTATAAAATAGAAGCAGTTTATGAAAATAGTTTCCTTTTCAAGATATAGGAACTGAAGTCTTTGCAAAATATACACACCCACAATTGTTACAATACACATCCTTGTATATAACTTGGACATTATAAAAGCGTTTAAGAATCACACCCTGTAAAAGTCAGGAGAAGAAACATTTTCTCCAACTTTGGTCATATGTTGTGACATTCAAGTACTTAAACCACTTTGTTGAAATGTACAGGCCCAGAGGGATGTAACTTCCAAGGTCCCATTTGGTTCTTTTATTGTGCAAGGTAGAGAACCAGGAGAGGCATCCCTGAGAGTTAATTAACCTTAGATATCTCAAGCAGTGGTTTACTTTCCATACTTTACCTTGGAACTAAAGGAGGGATAAATAAGACCATGGAAACCCATCTTAGGTAGGTCCCCTCCCTAGCATCCCTAACCGTGGAGTATATCTCCTACAAGAGGATCTCTAACCTTTGAGCCCTAGAAAGCTCCAAGTCTATAATTATCTAACATAGTTGCAAAATGATGGTTCTGCAACTCTAAACTTGAATACTGCAGAGTAGGCTAAAGTTATAATAATAGTGTGACTCTCCTAAATAGAGTTCATTTAGGATTTGTCTGGTGGAAGCACTTGGGAAGATCAGCAAGCCAAAAATTTCCTCTGGGAACTACTGGAAAGGATCGTTTCTCACCAAGTCATAAACCTCGGAAGCCAAGTTCTTTCTTACTTTGGCAGATTTGTGATGAAACAATGGGAAAGAGCCTATAAGCGTTCAAATCTGTAGGCTTAAGATCACAGATGCTAGGTCTGATACAGTAAGAGCTGAAGCCCTACCAATAAAGGGTTCACTGTGACAAAGAGCCATTAGTATGTACTCTCTATTTCCTGCTTAACCTCTCAAGTTCTCCTAAATATTACATTCTCTCTTTAACTATAGAGTACTGGCCTGAAGAAAATTCCAGATATAAAATGTGTTGTTTGAACTCATGAGGTTGGTATCATGGTTCAGCACTGACACTTAAGATCATACTGATACACTAGAATTTAACAGTGATACTTTTTTTTCCAAGAAATTACAAAAATCAATTAATTGTGGATTCACAGGTCTTTACATTTAATATATAACAGGAAGCATTATTATATAAAATCCCATAAGGGAAAAAGACTACAAAAATAAGTTTACTAGGATTACTGTATTTTAAAAAGTAATTTAAAAATATACTCCAAAGTCCCTTAAGTATTTGGTTTAGAAGGTAAGAGAGGTATCTTAATAGGGTGAACCATAAGGAACTATGATTTTTGTAAGTTGAAAAGGTAAAATCTCATCAGTTTCTTATGGTTAAAGTGAATAAAACCCTGAGAAAATTTTATTTGGCATCACACCATAAATTCAAAGAAAATTTATAGAAAATCACATTTCTATTATGGGGAAAACACTTCAGAATGGAAATGTGCATACTGCTTATGCCAAGATTTCTTTCTTATGATTTTTAAACACCTAAAATCTTAGAAGGTTAAGAAAAATTTCGGGGTGTTTCAAAAAAAAAAAAAAGAGGATAATTAGAATTACAGAATGTAGCTACAGTTGCTAATGCCACTAAAACAGAAAACTATTAGCCAGATGTGGTGATGGAAAGATTTTCTTTTTTTTAAGTTCATGCATAAAAGTTTTAGCATTAAAGTGAAAAGGCACAAATACGGGTTAAAAGAATGACAATTGTTTATAAAAGCCTTGAAAATAAGGCTAATTCATTTGTTTTATTAATACCATTAAGTAGGCACCTACTCCAAGTTTCAGCTTTGGCCTCCTAAATGGGATTACATTTCAAATGAATTCTCAGCATAACACTAACTATATAGCAGCATTATTATCAGTAAGTTTTTCAGCCTCTACACTGCTGAAAGAGAATCTAAAATTTCCTCCCATCTATATCCCATCAGTACCAAAAATACACTTCTAAAAATTACATATATTTATACTTAAGAGTCAAAAATTGTGCAGTTTTTCTTCAAAGAATGATCTATCCTCTTACCAACACCTACCAATGCCACCCCAACAACAACAAAAATCCAAAACCAAAAACTAATTGACTAAAGAAATCACTGCTACACCCAACTGACTGGCTTATTCTCAACTAAAGATGATACTTTATGAAATGTATTAAATATAATCAATGAAGTAAATGCAGATTTTCCAGGTGTGTGTGTGTCCACTGTGTGTCTGAACTGGGTGACGGTGTACTTTGAAAAAAATACACATTTTGGCAGTGATGCTTTATTTGGTACTATGGCACCATTTACGAATGGCTGCTCCAGTGCTACTGGCTATTACGCATAGGGAGCCACCCACTGTCCACCATGACGGCATGTCATTAAAGAAAATAATCTGAAAGATAAAAGCAAAGACCACATCCATGGTCTTCATTAATGCTACTGGCCCTGCCTTTTCTATCTGAAGGGCTTTTGCCAGAAACATCTGACCTCCCAAACCAAACATCCCAATTAGTATGAGAAACAGCCTGTCCAAACCACAGTGCGGAAGACGCCATTCTCCTAAAATAGAAAGGACAATGACGCACTCGATGAGGCCAATGATGACATAATACCAAATGCTCAACATGTAGTCCACAGATGTCCCTATTTTTCTTAGGATAACCAGAGTCATGGCAGCAAACACAGCATGCGCGAGGGCCACCAATGCGCCCTTCACGTGAACTGAATAGTCTTTATCCGTCTCCGCGACTTCGGAACCGAACAAAAATGGTGGCCTCACGATCAGTATCACTCCAGTGATGGTGAAGGCAGTGAAGAGGGCGTCCCAGGGGCTGTATTTTTCCTTGAGAAATATGCAAGCAATTATAGAGGTGAACACCGGGCAGCTAAAGGAGATAACCGTGGCATCTGCGAGAGACGTCAGCTGGTAGGCATAGTACAAAAGGATCATGGCGTTAGAACCAAGGACTCCTCTGAGGAGCAGGTAGATTCGTTGACCTTTGGGGCCTATAAACCCAGTTCTGTAAATTCAAAGGAACGAATGCATATTAAATGGACTTGGCATTTGTTTTCAAATTACATTCTTAAACATTATCTTAAAAGTCTTAACTTTCAAAAACAGGAAATGGTAAATTAATTATGTCTACAACTATTATACCTTTTACAAAGTGTTTCCTAAGTATAACTAATGACATTAAAGTGCTCACAGTACAAGCAAAAATAAGACATAAATAGTATAATTATAATTCAGCAAATAGAGATAGTATTTTCCCTATGTATTGATATATGCTTGTAAAAAAAAAAAGACAAAAAGAAAAATATACTGAAATGTTCATTGTGGTTATACCTTATACAGGCAGACTCATAGGTAATTTTTCTTCTTTATATTTATTTTCTCTAAACTTTCTATAATGAAAAAGTGTTATTTTTATAATAGGTAGAATTTCATTATTTAGCTGCCCTATATAAGAAAACTTGGGAATGCAAGTGTGCATTTTCAGTCTTAATGAGTTTCTTCTGTTAAAGTTGAAGCAATGCTAAAGTTTATTTTAGCCACTGAGTATGAGACAACTTTTCACTGTTCTCCTTAGGAAATGAGTTAAAATACACTGGAAAAGAAACTGTAGCATCTGGATAAGTATAGTAATTGCTGTTCAAATGCTTTTTAATTAAATATTTACAAAGCAGGGCACTGTGTAAGTTCCTGCCTAGGTGAGGCTCACTGGTCTGTTACAAAGCTGACCTTTCTAGAACAGCATCTAGGCTTGATATAGGGACCCCTGGGTCTCTGAAGTTAGAAATGAAAGTGTGGTCACCTTTGGTCCATACTTTGAGAAGCTGAGTTTTTTCCATGATAGTGAAACGTAAAATGGGTCAAAACAGATTAGTGCCAACAATGTAAGAAAATTTTTCTAAGTGCCTTACTGCCAGTACTTTTATTCCAAAATGGAGAGAATGACTGTGTTCACATCAATGGTCTGTTGGCACTCTTCAACATTTCTTAAGTCTTCCCCACCATCATTTCCTAAAATACTGTGACTTGTCCACACCTACACAGGAATTTCTGACTATTTTTGCTCTTCCTGTATTTTCACCTTTTTCACCAAAAGCTTGGGATAAGGAGTGAAACAATTCTAAGTAAATCTGTGCTAAGTTATAGATACAAGGAGACTTTGGTAGCAAGTGACTGAAGCTTTTCATTTGGAGTCAAAACATCTTTACCCAAAGAGACAAAGAGCCAAACTGCCACCAGGAACCCAACAGTCCCTCCTCGCAGGTGTCTAAATACACAGGGGTGTGTAGAGGTTGTAACAGTGCGGGGGAGGCATAATTTTGACCTGGGGAGGGTGTGGGGGTGGGGTCCACGTGCAAGAGGAAGAGAGGCTGGCCGGGGAGAAGACAGTAAGCATGGTGAATACAGTTTTCGTATAGGGTAGAGGACAAAGTGTATCATTCCCTCCAGTTTGCAGATGAGGACACTGAACAAGAAAGGAGTTAAAAGGGCCTTTCTCAGAGAGTCAGCTGATGTGGCAAACTTCACTGCTGTCTTATTTTAAGAAATTGCCACAGTCACCTTAACCTTCAGCAACCACCACCCCGCGCAGTCAGCCGTCATCAACATGAAGGAAGACCCTTCACCAGTGAAGACTAGGACTGGCTGAAGGCTCAGATGATGGTCAGCATTGTTTGGCAATAAAGTAATTATTTAAATTTTTTTTACAAAAGGCCTTTCTTAAGATCTCCTTACATCTTTCCCACAGCACCCTAGTGGGAAGATTGAAATATTATTACTGTACCTTTCTGTCTGCCCTGGTCGGAGAACAGCCTGTTAGACTTAAAGAAACCTCTGACACCAGGAGACACTACTATTTCCTCTTGTTTACTTTTCTCTTCCAAATACTTGTTATGCCAAAGGAAAGAGGGAGGGTGGTACAAGATGGGGGGAATTGTACAAGGAAAGCGTTGTTCTCAAAATAGGGGCTGGTGAATAACTGAACTCTTTCCCCTCCTTTGTTGGGCATGTGGTTTGTGCTTATGAGAGCAACTTCTATGGGTGGATCCTTGTGACTTTTCATTAATCTGAGCCAAAGGGTATGAGGATTGGTAAATCTATGAGAGGGATAAAGCAGATGCTGGAGAGTAGATGATTTAAGCAGGTCAAAAGATTTACAAACATTTATTAATACCTTCTACTTGGCATGTAAGAAATACTTACTTTCTGTATATTAAGCAAGGGATGATGATTAGCATTTGGAACACACATCGGAATGCACTAATTTCTACAGCGTGGATGTCTTGCACTTTTTTAACAAATAAGGAGCCCACTGAGAAAAGGAACGCAGACAATAATGTGTAAAACAAGCCAAGTCCAGGACAGGGTGCTTTCTTCTCAGCTTCTGAAAAAGATTAAATTCTGGTTAGTCCTTGCTTCCATGGTTTATCACTTTTACTTAGATACTGAGAAAAATGGAATGACACTGATGACTAACAGAATACAAATATTACCTCCTGATTAATATCCATTCTCTGGACCTGAACCATTTTCCCCACCAAGAATAGAGAACACAGGCAAAGGGCAACAATTTAAGCCTACATTTTTAAACTGCAGTTCACGCTATAAAATGGATTTCTTTGGCTCACTGAAGACTCTTCCCTCACTCGTAAGTCAAAAAAAAGTACAAGCTTGCCAAGATGGTGAAAGAAATCTTTAAGAAATATTTATCAAGATGGCGAGAGAAAAATGCTTCCAAGTGACATTTTATATCACCTCCTTGGTGAACTCAGCTTTAGACAGAATGTGTTCTTTTCTGGAAAACAGGTCCAAACTGTGTGATGTGGCTACTTGTTGATTATCTGGCTTCCCCCACAAGCCTGTGAGCTCCTCTAGGGCTGAGAGCTCAGCTGAGCTATTCAGGCCTGGCCCATGGAAGACGCTGAATAAAAATTTGCTAAAGGAAATAATGTGAGAAAGCCTGGCGGGTTTTTTAAAATAATATAAGATTCATAGTCTAACACCACAGGCAAAAGCATACTGAGAAGGTTCTCTGTTTAGTTATTTTGAACAGCTGGCGCTAGTGGTAAAGAATCTGCCTGCCAGTGCAGGAGACATAAGAGACAAGGGTTCGATCCCTGGGTCAGGAAGATCTCTTGGAGGAGGGCATGGCCACCCAGTCCACTACTGCTGCCTCGAGAATCCCATGGACAGAGGAGTCTGTTGGGCTACAGTCCATAGGGTCACAAAGAGTCAGTCATGACTGAAGCGACTTAGCACACATGCAAGCAGATATTTAGGTTTTCATGGTTTACAACTTATCTTCCATTTAGAACACAACTTTTTGAGGGCAGGAGCTAGGTTATCTATCCCTCTGAACCCAAAGTGCTTAAAAATTTTTAAAAAAGAACTGCCATCTAATTCTTGGCTTGATCTTAACCAGGAAACTTCTGTTCTCTCCAGGGCATCAAGTATTCAGTCCATTAATGAAGGTCTATAGGAGCAGCCACTGCCTCTCTCTTACACAGCTGTCTAAGAGAGGAGTAGAGCGTGCTTTCAGTCTCATCCTGGTCATTCAGAGGAGAGCAAAATGCAAAAGGGTAAGCAGAGAACTCCTTAAAAGATAGGCCACACACTGAGGAATAGTTTTTTTTAAATACTCACACACAAAAAACCAAGGAGAGAATAGGATGGAAATACAGTACGGCCCTTGTTAGTTATGAGCATAGCAGAGGTGAAGGATGTGTAGGCACATGCAATTTGTAGTAAAGCAAGATTATAATTCCAATCTAGGAATTTACAGTGGGTTACTCAGCCATAAACCAGTATTGTACAATGTTTGTTTGTCTTAATGCCCTTTTCTGATAAACACAAACATCAGCTAATACATTTCAACATCCACATGTTAACTAGATACTTTTGCCCACAGTGATAAACAATTTGCAAAGTGGGACCAAATTATGATGATGCACAATCCTCCTGGGCGTACACTACAGCCTGACCTTTGTACTAAAAGATGCCATTCTGGCCAGAGGCCTCCACCTTTTCCTGTTCAAGGTGTACAGCTGAAAGGAATGACCTGGAGTTAGCAGTCGCCATGTAATAGGTTATCTGTTATAAGTACCAGAATCCTCCATTCTCGTCTGTATCTATGTGCTCAGATACTGCAGGAACCAAACTGTACATACCCACTCAGTCCATGAGAAGGAAGCTTTAGAAGGTTAAGCACCACAAAGTACATGTCTTGGTTGTGGTCAGCCTTAGAGGTCAGCTTCTGAAATTTCAGAATTCAGGTCCAAATAAAATAGTTTTTCTTAGAAGAAACCTAATCGTTACATAGAACCTACACCCTCAGACAGAACAGAACAGAATGGGAAGATCAAGGACAAAAAACATCTTGGTCTGTATTTCAAGGATCTTCTCCAACCTAAACTTTTAAATTTTTCTCAAGGAATATTTTAACTTATGATATTTTAACTCTTTTAAAACTTTTAAGTTTCAAGGTCTGGCTGAACTTGATTATTTGTTCTAAGGCTGAGGACTGGCAAACTTCAGTCTCTTACAGAACAATAATTTCAGTCCTGTCAAAGGAAATGAACAAGAATAGCATAATCCAAAGAGGCATTTGCTTATATATATGCTTCCATGATCATACTCCATCCAAGCATATCTAATAATCCAGTAACTCTAAATAATTCAACTTAAGTGGCAACAGTGTAATTTCCTGAGTCAAAAGAAAACTGAAAAGTTGCTCAGTTTCTCTATCCTCTCCTTTAAACTGGTGATTCACTACCCAGTTGGGAATTAGAATCAACTTAGGAACTTTTAAAACTTCCATCTCAGCCCTACCCTAGACCCACTGAAACAGGATCTTGGTCACTGTAAAAAGCTCTGCTGGTTTCAGGGCCATTGCTACCCTAAGGAACTCACTCCTTCCAGGAGAATGAGAGGCACAGACTTAAGACAACTTCTCCTTGCTTCAGTCTAAGACTCACACTGTCCCTCATGAAAATAAACAGATGTCTTAGGATAGCTATATGCTGTCTGTGAAGGTTATCCAAGAATGTAAGAAAAATGGGTAACAAGTTTCAGCCTGAACTTGAAAATGAACTTTCTTGAGATAAGCAGTTGGGTTAAGAGGCTAAAATGATACTGTCACAAAGTTCAGTGACCACAGTACAGAGGTTTAAAGTATTTCTGTGGCACTCCCTTTTTTGGACTATTACCTAGTTACCTTATAATAAGTATTTCTAAGTCTTATTATTAGCAACTTTCTTTGAAATTAAAAGACCCCCTCAAGATTCTTGGGTACAATTGCTTACCTAGGTTTTGCCACATTCTGCCTGAAATATTCCTCTTTGATTCACAAACAGGGAAATCACTTAAAAGCTTGCAAGGACTAACTCAGCAGTCCATCAGAACATTCAGGCCTAGGATATTAAGACAAGAATCTGACCTCTTCAAAGCTGCACCTCTGGTCCACTCAGCTGAAAGTGAAGTGAAGTCGCTCAGTCATGTCCAACTCTGCGACCCCGTGGACTGTAGCCCACCAGGCTCCTCTGTCCATGGGATTCTCCAGGCAAGAATACTGGAGTGGGTTGCCATTTCCTTCTCCAGGGGATCTTCCTGACCCAGGGGTTGAACCCAGGTCTCCCACATTTCAGGCAGACGTTTTAACCTCTGAGCCACCAGGGAAGCCCTCAGCTGAAGGTAACCCCTAAATAAATAATCAGAAGCCTGATCATTTCTCTTAGCATTTAGGATGAAAATGGAGCAAGAACCATCTCCCTGGGGTTTGTCTCTCTATAAAGTATGTGAACTTTGTGACTCTTACAGATAGGGAACAGTGGGGTTGGCTAAACAGCATAGAAATCCCAGGTCACACTAGGGGAGGTGACCTAGAGGATGAGGTGGTGCAGACTGTAACTTTGTCTTGAAAGGAGATCTGCCTGTTTCTCTTTTTTGGAGGAAGCGGCTTCAAGTGGGTGGTGAAGTTGAAGGAGGAATGTGCCTGAGGCTGGGAGAAAGGGCCCTGGGCTGGGTCTGTAGCAAACTGGGATCCTATGCCTGGTGCTGCCCAGACCTGTGGAGTGTCTTTTCCAAACATGCCAAATCTTCGGAGAAAAAAACAAATCAAACAAAATCTTGCCAAAGCCCTTACTTTCCAGGGCCTTAATTTCATCATTTGTGGAAGGAAGACATTGAACAAAATAAAGTGTCCCTGGTCTTGGAGGTGGGTCCGTGAACCTCTTACCCATGTATGTAAGACTGTGCTTCTGTCTCGTTTTGCCTCAATTGCTAAAAATTCCTTGTAACTCAAAAAAGGTTAAGAACCAGTGGTCCCACTCAACTTTGCTTTCCCAAGAGTCCTAAGACTGAGACAAACATTTTTCTAGACTTGATGCTTTTCAACTTCCTCTTCGAGGAACACCGTTTACCATTGATATCAGTTCTTGGTTAGCTTCCTCCCAACCTCAGCCCGCTTCGTGATGGCCTTTCTCGCTGACCCCCAACCTCCGGCAGGGCGCACCGAACGACAATCGGACTCCACGATCCTGCCAGCAACACTTTAATTATAGGAACAGTTTCAGAATCCCAAATGGATTCCAAAGCAATCAGAAACTTTCTCCGGTCTTTCCGCCGACTGGGACGCAGGGGGCTTCTTCTTTCCAGCCCGCACCCCGCCCGCCTCCCCGCCTCCGCCCGCAGGTGACAGCGCGAGGGTGTTCAGGAGCTTCCAGCAGGGTGGGAAGGAGAGGCGCGGTCCACCATGCGCAGCCCCCCGCCCGCCGCTGCGGGGGCTCCCACCCACTGGCGCCCTCCTGGTTCCCCCATGGGCGAGACCCACGCCAGGGTCCGCGCCCCGCACTCACCCTGCTGGGCACGCGAGCCGCACGGCGAGGAAGGGCACTGCCAGTACCCTCCGGGGCCGGGCGTCTCCACTACCTCCGCAGCCGCCGGCTCCAGCCTGGAGCCCGGGGACGGGATGTCCATCAGCGGCAGCCCGGACTCCTGCCGCTTGGCGGCCCCAGTATCATCCAGGGGCCGCATCCCCGGCCCGCGCTCTCCCCGCGGCCACCGCGGCGTCTGGAGCCTGCCACCGCGGCTCTGCTGCTCTGCTCTTCCGGCCCGCGGCAGTCCGGATGCTGCGCATGCGCGCCCCCCCCCACCCCCGCAACGCCCGGGAGCCGAGCTCGTCCTCCGCCGCCCTCTCACTTTCAGCTTCTCTAGCGCGAGGCCGACTGCCTGCAGGTTAGCCTGTGGTAGCTGGGACAGAGCCGCAGGCGTCCACCCCTCTGCTGCCGTCCCGCTAGACTGGGCAGCGACGTGGAGTCATGCTTCCCACGGACACTGGACCCCTTTCTGTCATTGCGAAGGGAGGCTTGGACCCCCGCGGGTCCTGTAACCTTCTCTTGGGGCGGCCGGTGGGGAGGTTAGAATAGGGTGCATTTATTTATCCGTGTGGCGCGGCATTCAGCATCTGTAGCACACCCTGAAGACCTTGAAAGCACTATGCCTGTCTTTGAAGGATCGTGGCTTTTTCCTCTTTTGTATCTGTCTTTGCCGCTTACCCAAGGAAAGTCGAATTTTACTGGTTTGGGGTTAAAAAAAAAATTTAGCACGTAACTATGGGGGAAATGTAAGACTGGGGCGGAACCCATTTATTTGTTGTTGCTTTTTGTTAACTGTAGGCATTCACTGTTGATCTTCATTGTCTTTGTCTTTCCGTCCGTTCATTTCTCTTCCTTGTTCATTTTCTCCATCCTCCCTCCTTTCTTTCCTTCCTATTGTCATGTGGTTAGGGGAAAAAATTCCAACAACCTGATTTAACTGCACCTGGTAAAATCAGAGATTTATGTCATTTGGCCCCTGGATTCACTAATAGCCTCTGTATGTTTCCATAATTCTTTTTTTCATCTCTTTGCTTGCTTCAGTTGCGAAAAAGAGAGTCTCTGGGCAAGGATGGACCTGTCTAAACTGTTCTAGGTCCAAGCGCAAGCAGGTTACTAAACAAGAGAAAGAGGTTTGTCTTTACTTAGATATTTGCACAAAGTGGTCCACAGCTGAACAATATTGGACTTGAAATCAGCAGGGATCCTGATTCTGTCACTGAATGGGTGACCTCGGACAGTCACTACTGTGCTACCTGAAGTCAGCCTCGGTTACTTCATTTAATTAACAGAGATAAAATATTTCCCTTCCGACTTTGCAGAGTGGTTGTGCAGTGATGTGGGCAAAAGTACCATGTCACCCAAAAAGCATTTTACTGGGAAAGCAAGGTGTATTTTTAAATAGGGAAAAGATAATTTATCCTCCAAACTGGGACTTTTTTTTAGAGTAAAAAGGGGAGCTCATTTAAAAATTATGCAGGGCAGTAGGCATAAACTGGTACTGCCCTAGGCAAACTGGGACAAATGACCATGTGAATTCTAAATTAACATATACTTTTGCCTTGTTCCAAAGAATAATTCAAGACTGCTTACAAATATATATGTGCAACTGATTTATTGATGGTGGTGGAAGGTGTTTTGGTGGAGAAATTATAGGGAAGGGTGATGAGAATGGTAGCTCATGATTAGGAAGGAAGAACCAAGAAGCTTCTCCAAACATGCACAAATCAAGTGCAGTATCACAGTTGCATTCTGAGATTTAAATGTGCAGAATATGTGAATATCCCTTGAGATATTGTGACTTAACGAGAAATATGTATTTGGCCACATTCAGACGACCAAAATGTATTTCTCACATATATATGATCTTCAACCTGAGTTCCTGGCTCATAGTTCTCAAATCCTTGGAATTTCCTGAGCAGTAAGAGCAATAGGAGCATCTTTTGTTATAGTATTTGTTCTCTTGTCCTCACTTCTTAAAATGGCTTCTGTGCCTTAGAGGTGAAACAGATGCCTTGTCATTCAGAACAGGCTTCTTTCCACCACTCCTGGGTTTGTGTTAATTTTATTTTTTCTTAAAGCACCTAAGGATGGGGGCTTGTTACCAAGGGAATCAACCCTGAGATTAAAGGATTAACACTTTTGGTCCTACCCTCACCCTTCACTCTCCACCTCCAGGGAGGTGGGTAGGAACTAGCAGCTGGAGATTGAGTTCAGTCATCAATGGCCAGTGATTTTCACCAATTAAGCCTATAATGAAGCCCTCATAAAAACCCAAGAGGAGGGATTCAGAGAGCTTCTGCATGGGTGAATATGTGGAGATGCTGGAACAGTGATGTGGGCAGAGAGGGCATGCACACTCAGCATCCTTTCCCTGTCCCTTGCCCTGAGCATCTATTCTACCTGGTTGTTACTGGTTATATCTTTTTATAATAAACTGGTGATCCAGTAAGTAAAAAGTTTCTCTTGGTTTTGTGAACTGCTCTAGCAAATTAATCAAACCTGAGAAGGGGGTGGTGGAAATCTCTGATTTATAGCCAGTTGGTCAGAGGAACAGGTAACAATATGGACTTAAAACTAGCATCTGAAGTCCAAGAAAGGCGGACTTTAGAGCCTCTAGCTTGTAGCAGGTTGGTCAGAAGCACAGGTGATCATGTGGGCTTGTGATTGGCATCTGAAGGCATGGGGGCCGTCTTTAGGATAAAATCTTTTACCTGTGAAATTTACCTGTGCTGTCTTCAGGTTTACGGTGTTGTGTTGGTGTTTTGTTGCTTCAGTTGTGTCTGACTCTACGATCCCACTGACTGTAGCCTGTCAGGCTCCTCTGTCCATAGGATTCTCCAGGCAAGAATACTGGAGTGGGTTGCCAATTCCTCTTTCAGGGGATCTTCCCAACCCAGGGATTAAACCCCCGTTTCTTGAGTCTCCTGCATTGGCAGGTGGATTCTTTACCATGGAGCCAACTTAGAATTGAGTTAAATTGTAAGACACCAAGCTGGTGTCTAGAGAACTGTGAACCACTGCAGCATTGGGTCCAGGAACCCATTTAGTCATCCTCTGAAAATTGTGAAGATGGTGGTTAAGAAGCAGAAGGAAGAAAGAACTGGATGAGTTGAGCAAGAAGTACCTCAACTACTTCACTTTGATCACCATCCTCAAAAAAAGAGAAGAGAAAGGGCTTCCCTGGTGGTACAGTGGTTAAGAGTTCACCTGCCAATGCAGTGGATTTGATCCCTGGTCCAGGAAGATCTCAATGCCATGGGGCAACTAAACCCATGTACCACAACTACTGAACCTGTGCTCTAGAGCCCAGGAGCCACAACTACTGAAGCCCGCAAGCTCTACAGCCTGGGCTCTGCAACAAGAGAAGCCACTGCAATGAGAAACCAGTGCATTAAAAAAAAAAAAAGAGTGAAGAGAAGAGAGAAAAAAAAGAAAATATGTGTCACACCAGTGTTGACTAAGGTAATGAAAGGGTACTGGAATGATTTTGATCTTGGAGTTTATTCATTTAACTTGCTTTCCTTATGTTGCTGACCTTGATACATGTATGATATCAGTACAGTCATTTGTTGAATAAACAAGAGCCATACAAACTTAAAAAGCTACTGGTAAGAAAAGTATAGACCAGACTAGAAGTAAGAAGGCATGGCTCTGTTGCAGTCCCACCCTGCATAGGCTTGGAGTGGTTAAGTTCTTCTTTGAACATTGTTATTTCAAGGCTCTGTGACACTAACATTAAGCTGGGCAAAGATGGATTTCCCCTATAATATGAAGGGTGGGGCAGAAATCCTGACTGTAGGGGAAACTGACTCAGCCCATTTTTGCAGTGGTCTCAGTGAGATTTTTGACCTCAAGGCAGAGGAGGCAAGGAGGAAGGGTTGATTTTGAGTTAGCTAAAAGATGGAATGGACAGGATTAGTTGAACAGATGTGAAAGAGCTTTGCTTCCATTTGCAGAGTCATGCAGTGTTCCAACTGCAATTCCTCTGCTTCTGAAGAAATTCAATCCTCTAGTGAAAACAGGAGCTCTTGACACGATGCCAGCTAGTCACAGTGACCGTGGCACACATATAGTTTTGGTGTCAAGAAAAAGAAGGAAGATGAACGTAGAAGAGAGGTGAGTTCTAGCTGTCCCATTATTAATAACAAGTTAGAGTCCACAATCCTCATGATTCCAGTGGTGGCAAACAGAGACCTCCAGGAACTGCAGAAGATCAACTCCTCAATTCCACTATGTTTTGCATGTCAGGGATGTTCTTAAGTGAGACATATGTAAGTCAGGAGCTCTTTCCTGGTAAGAGCATCAGCTCTTTCCTAGCTGATGCACACCAGACTGGTATCTTGGTACTGATTTGTATATACTCAGAAGAATTGAAAGCAAGGTATCAAATGGATATTTGTACACCAATGTTCATAACAGTGTTATTCATAATAGCCGAAGAGGGAAACAACCCACAGATCATCAGTGAATGAATGGATAAAGAAAACGTGGTATATACATAAAATGGGAAATTATTCAGGCTTAAAAAAGGAAGGGGATTCTTTCCATGCTACATGGATGACCCTTGAAAACATTATGCTAATTGAAATAAGTCAAGCCTAAAGGGAAACTACTGTATAATTCCACTTATATTCGGGACATAGAATAGTCAAATTTATTGAGACATAAAATAGAATGGTAGTTGCCAGAAACTGAGAGGAGGAGGGAATGGGGAGTTATGATTTAATGGGTACAGAGTGTCAGTTTGGGATGATGAAAGAGTCCCACCGATCACGGTGGTTGTTGTACAGCAATGTGAATTCACTTAAAGCCACTGAACTGTATACTTAAAAATGGTTAAAATGATAAATTTTATATTATGTATATTTACCACTATTTTAGAAAGTTAAAAATATGACAGGAAAAACCCTTCTGAGAGTGTGCAATAGACAGCTAAAAAAACCAGCAATGTAAATCCAAAGTCAAAGCCAATCTGGGTCTACATACAAACTGAGGCATGCAAAGATATTTTCCCCAACATGGCCATCTCCTCTCTTAAGTTCTGGCTCATAGTTATACAGAGATAATAATGCATTAAAAAAAAAAAGGAAATAATAGGACTTCCCTCGTGGTCCAGTGTTTATCCACCTGCCAGTGCAGGGGACATCGGTTCCATCCCTGGTCAGGGCAGATCCGCACATGCTGCAGGGCAGCTAAGCCCGTGCACCACAACTACTGAAGTGCCTGTGCTCCGCAATAAGAAGCCACCACAATGAGAAGTCTGTGCACAGCATAGAGAGTAGCCACAACTAGAGAAAGCCAGCATGCGGCAACGAAGACCCAGCGTGGCTGAAAATAATAAATAAATAAGTATTTTTAAAGAAAGAAATAACAGGAGGAAGAGCGGCAGCATGGTATTGCATGTTCCAGGCTTCTGAAACTTTTCCATCTAAGTGTCCCTCACAGCTAAAAAGTGTGAGCTTTGAACTCTAATTTCTGGAGATAGAGTTTAAAGCCCTCATCAGAAATGGTAAGTTTAGTTTCTTTGAAGTTCGGTGTCCCAGCTTCAAAATTTGTCAGTTTTTCATTCTATTCCCTAATATATTTATGTTGATCTTAGTATCATTGTGCCATGTAACTCATTCAGCTGATGCTGTTTGAGTGCATATGCCTGACCATTCACAATTCCTAGCACAATTGAGGAACAAATTCCTCACAATTGAGGAACAAAAGAGATAAGTCTGCATTCCTTATAGAGATGTGGTAGGGGATGATGGAGAAAAAAAAAAGGATGCTAACATGACCTAGCATCATGCAAAATCGTTCAGAACCAAGTGAGTTTTGTTTCACTTCCTGCACCTTCCCAGTTTGACACACTCACCTGGGGGTTAGAACAGTGTTCTGTGTGGTTGTGCGAGTCTGAATGCATCCATTGGGCTCTCTTCATCTCTATTTCCTCAGCTCAGAAGTCACAGGACTGGATCCCCAAGCAGTCACTGTTGGGCAGAGCAGAGCCCTGCAGGCCTTACCATGGCTGGAACTTTCTCCAGCAACTCCTTGCTTCATTTATTTATTTTTTTAAAGAAAGAGCAATCTCCAGGCATTTTTTGTTGTTTGACTAAGAAAACATAACCAGTCAGAGAAGTCCCCAAGGAAAGTCATGTTTCATGACTGTTTACTCTGTGGCCCTTCATCTTCTAAGTACTTACTGTATTTCCTTTTAAAGATTTTAGACATTTATTTTGATCACAAATGCAATCCAAGTGTGAATAAATAAATGTATTATCTTTTAAGAACATACCTACCCCCCCTGCCCCTCCCCCACCCCCACCATGTTCCTTTAAACAGAAAAAGGTTCTGAATGTTTCTTCATAGCCTATTTGGCCATAGTTGTCCCACCTACAGTTTTTAAAACAGACTGAACTTGATCTTCTGAAATCCTTCCTAGACCTACAGCTCATTCTGTTGAAGAAATCCTGAGAGAGAAGTCCGACTAGTATTGTCAATAGTCTCCAAAAGGTGAGGATGGTAACTGGGCTGATGGCAGCTAGAAGGGGTTTTCAGCAAAAGGAGGACCCTTGGGAAACTGGACAGAGGCAAATCTTGTCAATAAAATACCAGTTCCTTCGATGAGAGCCAGGAGAATGCCACCCACTGAGGCTTATCCAACATGGATTCTGGTCCCTTTCTTGCTCCCAGAATGGCTCCTATTAAGGCTTCACTCGTGATGGAGTTCCAGGTGTCTTCTTTGGCTCAGACTTGAACCATACTGCAGTCAGTCTCGGAAAACAGACCTCTCCAGACTGCAAAGTTAACCTCCCAACTGCGGAACCCTGGTTTTAATAGCTATCAAATTCCCTTGTTGTCTGTGGTTTCCTCCTACCAGAGAATTGTGGGAACTTTTGATTACTTGAGAGAGCCCACGATTTATGGTTCCCTTCCTAAAGGCCCGCACTGCAGCCATCCGTCATGCGCCAGGGGCAGGGCTGGCATGCCTCCTGCTCCATCTTAACTCCACTGCTTCTCGGTCAAGCCCTTGCGTTAGTACTCTCCTCTGTGCCCACTCGGCAACAGAAAGCTCCTAAAAAATGATTTCTGGGGCCCCAGGGAACCTGTTTGCTCCTGTGGGAGCTTGCTTTCTGTTTACCGATGATCTGAGAATGAGGATGTCTGAACTTTAGACTTGGCTTCATATGATAAAAGTATAGCATAGGTGGCAGGGTCTGGGGAAGGGGCGGCAGGCGCCATGTTGGGCCGCGAAGGTGGCAAGAAGAAGCCCCTGAAGCAGCCCAAGAAGCAAGCCAAGGAGATGGACGAGGAAGATAAGGCATTCAAGCAGAAGCAGAAGGAGGAGCAGAAGAAACTCGAGGAACTAAAAGCAAAGGCCGCGGGGAAAGCCCCCCTGGCCACTGGTGGAATTAAGAAATCTGGCAAAAAGTAAGCTGTTCCTTGTGCCTGAGGCAATGATGACCCTTAGTTCCATTCCTGTTTAAACACCTGGATTCCCTGCCATGATATCTGTTGCTGCCTATAGCTAAGAGTGAAGTGTTGTCTTGGAACCTATTGTACATTTAAGAATAAACTTTTGTAAAAAAAAAAAAAGTACAGCATAATCCACCTTACCCCCAAGTTTGTTATAATTTGGGATTTGGATTCCACCCAGCTCTCATTATAATAATTGCTCTTTATTAAATACTTAAAATATGCCAAGTGCTATTAAATGCATCGTTTCATTTAATCCTCAGGTGAACTTTATCAGACAGTTTAGCATAATAGCTGAAAGCTGGGGTCTGGAGGCAGACTGGCTGGATACTCTCCTGTCTGCCTTTCTTTTTTTTTTTTTTTTTTTTTAGTACACTCACTGACAGGCCTAGATTTTAATCCTGGCTCTGCCACTGTGTGCTCTTTTTTTTTATCACAACCATAGTGTATCTTTTTTTTTTTTTTTTTACAAGTATTCCCCATCCCGGTCCCCCCTCCCACCTCTCTCTCCACCCAATCCCTCTGGGTCTTCCCAGTGCACCAGGCCCGAGCACTTGTCTCATGCACCCCACCTGGGCTGGTGAACTGTTTCACCCTAGATAATATACGTGTTTCAATGCTGTTCTCTTGAAACATCCCACCCTCGCCTTCTCCCAGAGTCCACAAGTCTGTTCTATACATAGGAGTCTCTTTTTCTGTTTTGCACATAGGGTTATCGTTACCATCTTCTAAATTCCATATATATGTGTTAGTATACTGTAATGGTCTTTATCTTTCTGGCTTACTTCGCTCTGTATAATGGGCTCCAGTTTCATCCATCTCATTAGAACTGATTCAAATGAATTCTTTTTAATGGCTGAGTAATATTCCATGGTGTATATGTACCAGAGCTTCCTCATCCATTCGTCTGCTGATGGGCATCTAGGTTGCTTCCATGTCCTGTTGTCTGCCTTTCTTAACAGCCGTGTGACTTCAGACAAGTTACTTAGCCTCCCTCTGAGCCTCGGTTTACACGTCTATAGAAAGGGATAATAATAGTACCCAACTGCTGTCAGAATGACTTGAGTTAATAACATGTAAAATACCAGAGAGCAAGTTCTCTTTTAAAAAGATGTGTGTATTATTACCTTCATTTTCCAGATGAGAAAATTGAGACTCAGAGATATTGAACAACTTGCCAGAGTCACAGTGGTGGGGAAGGACAGAGGTATGATTAGAACCCAGTGCCATCAGAAGCTGAAGTCCATGGTCCAGTGACTACTCATCCAGAAGACTTAATTACCAGGATTGCTAGCTTCCAAGAAAACCTCATTAGAGAGATTTCTTCCACTTTATATCCTGGCTTGGACCTTAAGGCTCTTACTATGGCAGCATTCCATGACTACATTCTACACTACGATGATGCTGTGTGTCTTGTCTCTCTAGCTTATAGTGTCTGTAGCATCTTAACTTTACCAATAATGAGATTTAATGGGCCAAGAGAAATAGATCAGATGAGCAACAAAATGGAGGTGTTATAGCCACATGTTCTGGGAAACAAACTCACTCAGAAGGACAGTGAAGATAGTGGAGTGCAATTTATTACACCGGCAGGCCAAAGGCAGAGTCTCCTCTTAGCCAAGGATCCCGACCAGCATTTGTGAAAATCTTTTATACCCCATGTGTACATGTCGAAACCCACCACCCCAAATTCCTTGAAACTTACATAAACAAAGGAAGGGTAAATACAACTGCAATAATCCCATCATTCACGTGTTATGTGTTCAAACAGTTAATAATCAATAAGCCTGTGGTCACATTCCAACCAGTTAATAATCGATAAGCCTGTGATTACATCCCGATAGATATGGAAAAAATTTATGACCTGTCCGGAGGCAGGGGTGATTACGGTATGTTTCCTCTTACGCAATGAGTAACCTGGATGTGATCTTCAAGATTCCCCTGCTCAGAGGGGATCTTATCCTTCCATTGTTATTCCCATAGGCGCTAAGCACAGAGTTCAGAGTCCACTGGAAAGGTGGCCACGCACGACCAGCATGGACAGGCCTGAGATGGAGTCCAGGCCCTATGAATTCCTTCTTCAGAGGGAAAATAGTAGAGTGCCCAGACAAAGCAGAGAATTCATGAACGGACTAAGATGAGATCTGTGTTATTTGTAGGGATCTTTACATATTGCCTATGAACACCAGCTACTCCTTTCCTGAGGGTCCTAGCCAAGACCCCAGCTTTGGACGACAGAAATAAGTTAGGAAGAAATCAGAGATGTGGATACTGGAGTGTGATAATGAGGTTATCATTATAGAAGAGAAAATAGGCTGGCTTTAGTTAATATTATAAAAATTGCTTTTCTTTGCTTCTTAGCATTTTAATTTTTAATAGTACAAGTCCTCAAGGGAGGAAGAATTAGGCAAAGGGTTTAATCATAAAACGTTATTTACTTTACAAACAGATGTATGGACACGCACACATACACATGCACGCACACACACAATTCTTGGCAACTACAATGTAACAGAGGCCAGCCCTGGCTTTCTGGAGCAGCAGTAGTTTCCCCTTCAGCGGTGCAAGGATAGGAAACACTTAAGAAGTTCCATTTTTACACAAACCTGGTATATTTGTTTAACCTCTCTCCTTGCTCCATATGTACCTTCTAAATTATAAAACTAGGTTCTATGCAGTACCTAATACAGGTTAAAAATTTTAACAGTATAAAAAGATACATTATGAAGAACAAAAACTTTTCTCTCTGCCCTCAGTCGCACTTCTCAAAGGCAATCCCTGTAAACAGTCTCTGTTTCTAATTCTTATAGTGATCACCGTTATACTCTTATACATTCTTAGTTCTCTGTTACTGATTTATTAACTTTAGATGATTTCATTTTTTCTGCTTTGGAAGATGAAAAATTTCAGTGTATTTTACCACCTCCTACTTTCCCTTGTTCCATCGTATCTTTTTGATCAATTGCTCTCTGACCAAGTTGGCATCTGGCACAGTGGGGATATGTTTGACTTTAGGATAATAAGGGTTGCCCTTTGTCAAGTCTCTGTTCTTGCCAGGCAGGCAATATGCTAACAATTTATATATGGTAATTTAGTTAATCTTCAGACCCACGCTATTCAAGAGGCAGTACCCACCTTTTACAGATAAGTAAATTTAGGTTTTGGCTAGTTATGTTTCTTGCTCAGAGTTCTATAGTTAAGACTGGTGGAAAAAAAAAAAAAAAAAGACTGGTGGAGTTAGACTTAGCCTTGACTCTCTAACAACCAAGTCCACTTAAACATTACTGACCTACAAAAACAAATGCTTTAAGGCTAGTCTAGTTCTGCCAAGGTGTATTCACCTTGTTCCTTTGTTCTGCAAGTTATGTATGCATAAGTGTATGTGTGTGCATGCACATGTTCATGAGTATCCACATTTATAAAGTAGAAATAAAATCTATGACAGATATTTAAAAGGGTGGGGGAGGGAAAGATAGATGGTCATAAGTTTCTTCATAAAGGGATACATTATTATTTTGTGGATGACAGTAAATTATCTTTTAAAGATAATAAAAGGAGGAAAAGGTCTTTAATATGTACTCAAATATTTACCATTTCTGACACTCTTCTTGCCTTTTTTGAAGATCTAAGTTTCTATATGGTATCATTTTCCTTTAGCCTGAGGAACTTTTAAAAAACATTTCTTGTGGAAAATTTCTGGAAATAAGATAATGGAGTAGAAAGATCCAGAACTCACCTCCTCTCGTGGGCACACAAAAATTACAACCACTTATGAGCAACTGTTAATGGGAAAGACTGGAATCTAATAGAAAAAGATTTTCTACAACTAAAGATACAGAGAAAGATATACCCACATGAATGCAGAGTTCCAGAGAATATCAAGGAGAGATAAGAAATCCTTCTTAAGTGAACAGTGAAAAGAAATGGAGGAAAGCAGTAGAATGGGAAAGACTAGAGATCTTTTCAAGAAAATTAAAGATACCAAGGGAAAATTTTCATGCAAAGATGGGCATGAAAAAGAACATAAACCACAAAGACCCAAGAGATGCAGAAGAGATTAAGAAGAGGTGGCAAGAATACGCAGAAAAACTGTACAAAAAAGGTCTCAAAAACCCGGATAACCCCAGTGGTGTGGTCACTCACCTAGAGCCAGACATCCTGGAATGTGAAGTCAAGTGGGACTTAGGTAGCATTACCACAAACAAAGCCAGTGGAGGAGATGGAATTCCAGCTGAGCTATTGCAAATCCTAAAAGATGATGCTGTTAAAGTGCTGCACTCAATACATCAGCAAATTTGAAAAACTCTGAAGTGGCCACAGGACTGGAAAAGGCCAGTTAGTTTTCATTCCAAGCTCAAAGAAAGGCAATGCTAAAGAATGTTCAAATTACCATACAATTGCACTCATTTCACATGCTAGCAAGATTATGCTCAAAATCCTTAAGCTAGGCTTCAGCAGTACATGAACTGAGAACTTTCAGATATACAAAACTGGGTTTGCAAAAGGCAGAGGAACCAGAGATCAAATTGCCAACATCTGTTGGATCATGAAAAAGGAAGGGAGTTCCAAAAAAAATCTATTTCTGCTTCATTGACTTCGCTAAAGCCTTTGACTGTGTGGATCACAACAAACTGGAAAATTCTTAAAGAGATAGGAATACCAGACCACCTTACCTGTCCCCTCAGAAACCTGTATGCAGAACAAGAAGCAACAGAACTAGACATGAAACAACTGATTTGTTCAAAATTGGAAAAAGAGTACATCAAGGCTGTATATTGTCACCCTGCTTATTTAACTTATATGCAGAGTACACCATGTGAAATGCTGGGCTGAATGACTCACAAGCTGGAATCAAGATTGCTGGGAGAAATATCAACAACCTCAGACAGGCAGATGATACCACTTTAATGGCAGAAAGCAAAGAGGAACTAAAGAGCCTGTTGATGAAGGTGAAAGGGG